AGCAAGGGGCTGGGGGTTATGTGGCAGGGAGTGACGCTCTCCCTCGAGCAGCCACAGCCCAGCTGGAGGAGATGCCTGCGCGCCACCAGGCCAGGCGTGACTTGTCACAGCAGGCCACGTTGCAAAACATCATCAGATGAAGTTACAAACAAAATGCCAATGACGTTGAAGAGCAGAGGGCACATGTCAGCGGCTGGACACTCACAAGTGCGTGCCTGGGGCTGTTTTCCTGCCCCATCAGCTGCCAAGGGCGCCAGTGCTCGTTAGGGCCTGTGCTGACACGGCACAGCTCCTTTCATCCTGCGAGCCCGGGACTGCTGTGCTGGGCAAAATGGGAGCTGCTGCCTTTAAACAAAGCAGCTGTTTATCCTTGAAACAATTAGAGACGGCAGTTAGATCTTGAACTCGTTACTGAGCCCGAAACAATTATGATAAAAACAAGTTCCAGATGGGCTCAAAAGGAGTTGTTTTTGTCTTTACTGAATTAGAATGGATTCCATGTCTTCAAGTCCCTCTGGTATTTATGGACAGGAAACATGAATTACACACAATAATTTACTACAAACAAAGGAGATGACCGCTGCAACAGCCCATTTATCTTTGCTCATGTGCCTTCTTGAGGTTTATGTGCTGTTTAACTCATGGGGAGAGTTAATAGCATTTTTCTCTGTTTTCTAGCTCTGCAGTTTTGGTTTGCAGAAACTGAGACAGGAAGCTGTTGAATTTATGCTGCAGGTCACTATCACCAAGCCTGCGGATGCACAATGGGTAAATACTGTCTGGCAAAGAGATACCATCATGTTTCAGTTCTTCCTTTGAAGGACTTGTGCAAAGGTTACAGTTGGGAGTCCTTCTAATTAGGTCCTCTGGCTGCTCCAAGAGCATGCAGACAGAAAACTTTTTCAAAGCCTGTCCAAAACTGACTCAAGTCTGGGCATCACCCATATTTGTGTGGAAACATTGAGTTTCTGATATCTTGAGTTTTGAAGCTGATGCTGCACATTGACAGCAATTGAGCAGATCCCCAAAGGAAGGGGAGCCCAGAAGATGGCAGGAAGCAATGTCACATCACTGTGCCACATCTGCTTTGAGTCCCCAGGCAGGGACAGGACAAGGCAGGAGAAAATCACTGAAAGAACTCCTGGGCAGCATTTTTCTGGCAGTCCCTCTTACCTTCTTGCAGCTGAGACAAAGAGTTTGGCTTTGGGCTTTTTTCAGGCTTTTAGTTCGATTTCATGATTTTATAAAAGGCATCACTATGAAGGTGTGTGTGTGAACACAAATATGTGCCTGCACTGATGGGAACTTGGGGAAGGCCATAATTCCAAAAACCCATACAATGTGACACAGATTGTAGTAAAGACTAAAGCTGCCCCGGGGGTACTGTAGTGCATGAAGTCAGCTTGGCTGAGCTCCGAAGGGACTGAGATCATGGCAGAAAGCAGCCTGGGAACTCAGGGTGACACTGAGATTTGTTTGGCCTCTCCCAGTGGGAGCTGGTGAACTTCCCGATGCATTTCATCACTTCTTCCCCTTCCCCCATAAACCCTAAAAAGAGGCCTTAAGCAGAAGTCTGGACAAGTGGAATTCTTCAGTTTTGGCTAGAAAAGAAGGGAAGAGAAAAAGATTGGGAAACTAATTATTACTTTCTTTTTTTTTTTTTTAATTTTATGCAATGACTAATTTGCACATAGTCTTTCACAGAGAGCGAGTGGGATTGATTATTTGGATTCCCATCTCTGTAGAGCTAGTGAATGCCTCCTTGCAGCAGGGAGGCTCCCAATATTAATCTCCCAGTCTTGGTTCAGATAAGGAAGGGGCAGGAATCATGGTGCTTGAATTCAGCTTCTGTCTGGTGTCCAGGAGCACCAAGAGCAGATAGGAAACCTCTAATTCCCCACCCAAAGGAAGAGGATACGTATTCATTTATTTCATTTATTATTAATTTATTGCCTCTCAGTTCTTCAACTCAGTTGCCCATTCTGCTGGGTCAGGAGTTGGCATGCTGGAGGGCTGAGCTGCAGCAGCGCAGCATTTGGGCTGAAACAGCCACATGAATAAGGGCAGCCCTTTGCAGAGCTCCTGGCCCAATGGATTTCCCTGCAAGCTCAGCTCTTCTCAACTGCCAGAGCTCTCACACCAATCCCAGCTCCCACCAAGAGCCTGTGCCCACACAGCCAAGCCTATTGACACTGGGGTCAGTGTGGTGTGAGTGCTGCAGTTTGGGGTCCAAGTTCCTCGCTCAGCACCATTCCCAGCATCCCTAATGCAGCTCCTCCTTCTCCCCCAGCCCCCTCAGAGGTGCTGTCAGCATCACACTGCCCAGGGCACTGGAGCCCATTCTGTGGTCTGACAGACCCCACTGGTCTCTTGTCTTCTCCCCTCTCTCCCCCATTATGTTGCTTTAACCTCATGTCCCATCATCTTCCATCTGGGTTTTGTATTTCATCAAAGGGCACTCAGGATGGAGGTGGTGGAGGACACAAAGACTCCCTTCCCCCTCGGTAATTTCATTTCCCATTAACTGAAGGTTTAAAGGGAAATCTCAGGGCTCATTAAGGCCCTGATGACAGCTTAACCCTCTCCAGCACAAACCCAGCACCAGGCCCATTCCTCATCTGAATCCAGGGTGGCTGTAACATTAGACCCGACTGCTGTGCAGGGGAGACAGGTCTGGGAAGCACAACAGCGGGAGAGTGAAGGATGCCGTGTTTCTGGAGACGTGTATCAGCTCTGGTTCTCAGGAGCACTGGCTGGATGGGACACGGGGCAGAGATAGGCTCTGCTTCCTCCTGAGCAGGGAGGGCTCCTGAGCTCAGCACGGGCTCCGCTCCCCTCCGAGAGCCCGGCACGGGCTCCGCTCCTCCCGAGCAGAGCAGAGTCTCCGCTCCCTCCCGAGGGCCGAGTGCAGCGCTGCTCCCGTTCCCCGGGTCCCCTCAGCACCCGGTGGGACCACACATCTCTTGCTTTCTCCCAGCGACCTTGACAGCTCGGTGCGATCCCGTACAGTTTGGGGAAGCGCTTCAGCAGGAATTACTGAAAACCCCAAGCCCTTCGTGCCTTAGTGAATACGAGACCTTCTGATCAATGAGGCAAGCGGCAACACAGCCGGGCTGAGCCAGCGGCTCTCGGGGACACGCACCGCGGCTCCCTCGGCCGCGGCAGGAACCGGGCGGACGCTTCACCGGCCGGCAGGTCAGCGCCACAGTCCCAGGCCCCGGGGCACAGCCGCGCCCGGTTCCACCCGCCCCGCCCGCCCCCTCCCGGCCCGGCCCGGCCCGGCCCCTCCCGGCCCGGTCCCTCCCGGCCCCGCCCGGTTCCTCCCGGCCCGGCGCTGCCGCTGCCGCTGCCGCGGGGCGGGGCCGCTCCGGGTTGGCGGGGCCGCGGGCCGGGGCCATGAGGCGCGCTCCCATTGGCCGGCGCTCGCCGCCTGTCGCGCGGGGATTGGCCGGGCGCTCCCCGCGGGGGCGGGGCGTGCGGCGGCGCGGGCGGGGGGCGTTAAAGGCGCCGCGTCGGGCGGGCGGAGCGGCGCGGCCATGGCGTACCAGGGCTTCGCGCAGGAGTACCTGGGCATGCCGGCCGTGACCCGCGCCTACACCACCGCCTGCGTGCTCACCACCGCCGCCGTGGTGAGCGGGGGCCGCCGAGGGGCGGGGGGCCGCGGGGCGGGGCGGGGCTGGCCGAGGGCGGCGGGTGACGGCAGCTGCTCTGCCTGTCTCCCACAGCAGCTGGAGTTCATCACCCCCTTCCAGCTGTACTTCAACCCCGACCTCATCTTCAGGAAGTTCCAGGTGAGGCCTCGCTCGGGCTCCGGGGCCCGCTGCGCCCCTGGCAGCGAGGGGTGGCGGTGACCGCGTGGGCCCCGGTGTCCGCCCGCAGGGTGGCCGGGCGGTGCTGTGTCATCCCCCGGGGCTCCCGTGCCACTGCTCAGCTCCCCCGAGTGCTGCCAGCCCGCCCATCTCCTTCCAGCCTCTCCCCCTCCACACCACCTCGGCTTTTCCTTGACACAAAGCCACCTCGTCCTCCTCTGTACACCGAGTGTGGCAGCTGCTCTTGGGCTGGTTGGAGATGGCTTTGTTGTAGAGAGGTGTGAAAAGTAGTTTATTTGGCTCTGGATGCCGAATTGTGGCTGTTTGACCTCTCTAGAAAAGTAGAGAAATCTTCTTTTCCATACCTGGAAAGGTGAGATACTCAGTGTGCCAGGGTATCATGTAAGAGGGTCCCACTAGAGGGTGGAGCAGCTGCCTGGTGTCCTGGGGTAGTTCTGAAGGGACAGGTGGATGACTGAACATTCATCTCCTGTGGACACTGTGATGGGCTGCTCTACATGTGATGAGGAGAGACCTCTGTCCACCTCCTTTTCTCTTCTCTCTCTTCTCTTTCAGATATGGAGGCTGATCACCAACTTCCTCTTTTTTGGGCCCCTGGGATTCAGTTTTTTTTTCAACATGATATTTCTGTATCCTTTGGTCTCAGTGACGTTCTCTGCTCCCATTTTGGCTTAGATGAAACTCTCCCCATCCACCTTCCTCCCCAGCATGGCTTGCCTTGACAGCACTCTTGGGCTGTGGGTTCTTCCCTTGGCTCTTCTGAGTTGAAGCCGTGACCCTCCTGCCCCTCCATCTGTGCTTGCTGCAGGGCAGGCCCTGCCTAAAGGGAGGCTGGCAGTGCTGCTGTGGCTCTTGCTGGAGAGCAGTGCCCGTTCCTGGGGTGAGCTCTGGCTGAAGCACGGCAGGTGCCTGTCTCTGTGCATGGGGTCAGTGGTGTGAGGTGCAGTTTGCACTGTTCTGCTCTGGGCTCAGCTTGCAGCAGCTTGTTCCTGGGAAGTCCTGCTGCGGGCACAGGGTGGCCAGCTGTTAATTTCCTATACTGCAACCCCTCCCTTCTCTCCTGCTCTCAGGTACAGGTACTGCCGCATGCTAGAAGAAGGCTCCTTCCGTGGAAGGACGGCTGACTTTGTCTTCATGTTCCTCTTTGGAGGGTTTCTCATGACAGTATCCTTTTGAGCTGGTTGAGGCTCGTTGGTGTCTCTGAGATGCTGTGGGTAGTGTAGGGCTTGTCTGCTAGCTCTGTGTGCCAGCTGTGCTGTGGAGCAGGGGCCTGCCTGCTGAGCAGCACAGCTGCTTCATGAACCTTCTTGGTGCCTCAGGGCAGAGAGCTGTGCCCTGAGAGCTGGGAGAGCTCTGCTGAGTGTGTGGCGCAGGGGCAGCTTCTGGCTGGGTGGCACAGCTTGTGCCCCTCGTCTTTCCCACCCTTGGCTTGGCCAGTGCCTCATCCAGTGTGCTTAGAGAGAAAAGCTGCCTGTGGCTGTGCTGCTGTCTGCAGAAGTGCCCCTGGCAAGGAGCTGGGCTGCCTCATCCCTGAAGAGAACACGTGGCAGAGTGCTCGGGAGGCTCAGCCCAAAAGAGGCCACGTGTTCTGCTGCAAGAACCTGTCCAGCTGTGCCAAGGCCACTGCCTGAGCTCTGGTGAGTGCAGCATGGCTGTGATTGCGTGAGGCTGGCTCAGGACAAAGGCAGGAACATGGAGCAGTGAGGACAAGCACTGGGTTCCCACACACTTGGCATGTGTGACCCCAGAGCTTGCAGCCTGTCAGTAGCTGGAGGTACCATCACACAGCTTAAGTTCTTTTCACAACACAGTAATCTGTTAGTGAAATTTATTTCCCTCCCAAGAATAAAGCTCTGAATATCTTCTGCTGTCCTCTGCAGATGGCTCAGAGCACTGCTGTCCCACGGAGCTCTGCATGAAGCTGTGTGAGCCATTAGAATCCAGGTGGCTGCAGCAGCCACGTGCTTGACCAGACGTGGATTTGGAGTCCAACTAATCTTTGCCTCTCTCTGTCTCCCTGTGCTCTGAAGAAGAGGACTGTGAATTCCAAGAGCCATCTCACTGCTGAACCTTTTCTGTAGAAGGCTGATACTGGATGTGAGCTACTTGTTAAGATATGCCACTGTCCCAAGTGCTGTAAGGCTGTGAAAGCCCTTCTTTGAAGGCCATTTTGATGTTCATTTTGCAAAGGTGACTGTAGAGCTCTCTGGTCTCTGGTGGTTGTTGACATCAGCTTAAGGAGTGAACAACCTGCATGTGCACTCCAGAGTGTCTTGTTCTGGGGTGGCACAAAGGGAGATGTGTGTGGGGACAGTGGTGGTCAGTATATCTCAGCCAGGAAAGGCTTGGTGACATGGGCAGTGTCTGGGAACGCTGTGATCACCTGTCTCTAGTTTGGGTTTCCCGTCCCAAAGCACACTGTGCTGCCTGGAGGTGTGCACAGGTGGGTAGGATTTTCCTTGACTCGGTAGTTCCCAGCTGTTTGGACTCTTTGCCAGCCTGTTTTTCCTGGGCCAGGCTTTCACCATCATGCTGGTGTACGTGTGGAGTCGCAGGAACCCTTATATCCGCATGAACTTCTTTGGGCTTCTTAACTTCCAAGCCCCCTTCCTGCCCTGGGTCCTGATGGGATTCTCTCTGCTCCTAGGCAACTCCATCATCATTGATCTGCTGGGTAAGTCAAACTGGTGGGTGATGGGAGCAAGGACACCTTGCAGCCACAGTGCTCAGTCCTCATGGGTGCTACTGGCACCTTCTCTTGGTTCCAGCTGACCTAAGAGTCGGGTTTCTAAGTGAGCTGCCTGGGTTTCTGGGTGGCTGGGCTTGGGCCTGGGCTTTAGCTTGTGACCTGCTTTTTGGTGTGTGTCCTGGGGTAGCAGCTGGGTATGGTGAGCTCTGACACTGCTGTGTCTGGTCTCCTGGGTGTACGATGCTGCCCTCAGGCTAATGGGCTCCCTGCATGCAGATCACAGCACCCTGCAGCATCCCTGGCTCTGGAGGGAGCTGGATTTGGGCACACAGCTGGGGTGTTCTTAGTTTTGCCCAGCAAAAACTCTGGTTCAGCTGGCAAAGGAGTCGCAGCTGTGCCTGACCTTGGTGGTATCTCTCCCCAGGGATTGCAGTGGGTCATATCTATTATTTCTTGGAAGATGTTTTCCCCAATCAGCCTGGAGGAAAGAAGTTGCTGTTAACTCCTAACTTTCTGTAAGTAAAGTTGATTCTTTCTGGGCTTCACTGTGGGCTTTTCCAACCCAATCACTTCCATAGCAAACTGTGACCTAAGAGGCAACTGCGGGCTGACAGCACCTCAGCTCCTCAGGTCATGGATTGCTGCATTATTTGCACGTTATATACAAGTGTACAGGGCCCATACAGCTACTGCTGCTACCTTCAGCTTTGCTAGTAGAACTAAAGTCTGCTTACTGCTTGTGGAAATGTTAGATAGAGGCAGGATTTTTTCTTATGTATTTTTGTAGTTTAAGAAAGCAGAATATATTCTGCTTTGTGCACTGACAATCAAATCTGACCTGCAGATCAAGGAAGGAGGTACTGTCATCACTGTGTGTTGAGCTGAGCAAAAGAGTGGGTGATGGTGCAGTGTGCCAGTGGCTGACAGCCAACCCCACAGAGGGCCAGGGTGTTCCTAGGAGGGCTGGGGGTTTCTCATCCTCAGCTCAGCTTCCTAACCTGCTTGCCTGCTGGGATGGGCATGTCCCTTGCCAGGAAGATGGTTTTTGACACACCTGAAGAGGATCCCAATTACAACCCTCTCCCTGAGGATCGTCCAGAACACCAGCCTAGAGACCAAGACCAGAACGAGCAGCAGCGTCCACAGTAGCATGGGGGACTTCTTCATGTGGCCAGATTCCTCCCTTCTGGCTGGACTTTGGCTGTGGCTCAGAGATCCTACTGGAATAACACCAGTTGCCATTCCGATGTGTAGTGTGTTGCTGTTTGTGTGGGTAACCCATCTTCCCCTTGTACAAAGTGGATCCACAGAGCTTTGCACACAAGAACTCCTGGATGTTTACAGAGGTGTTCTGGGGACAGGGCTGGAGCTGTGATGGCTCCTCAGTTCCCTGGTGTGGAATAAGTATCAAATGGGGTGTTAAACCAGTTCCTCCTTCTGCTGTCAATGACTTGCTGTGTGCCAGGTCACTGTTGCCCTCTGCACAAAGATGCACCTGGCCCTCACTCTCGTGAGACCTCTTTGTGGGCTTTCAATGAAGTAGTTCTGTACCATGGTAGAATGCAGCTCAGCCTCTTTCTTTCCTTTTTGTCCCCCACTCCCTTTCTGGTGGTTGTTTCCAAAGAGTCTTTACATTAAAGTCTTTATTTTTCAGTTGTGTGTCCATTTCTGCCAGGGGCAGAGGCAGCAATTAATCAGAAATTTGCTCAAACCTGCCAGGTTTGGGATTTTCTTTTCTGGTGGGCAAGGCAAAGTTCAGGCTAGCTGGAAGATGTCTTTCCCTCTTCTCTCAGCAGGGCTGCAGAGCATGAGAAGGAGTGTGGGGGATGTCTAATTGGATAAAGGGGTGCCTGGGAAAGGACAAAGGGACTGAGCTGTTCACTTGATCCAGGCAGTGGCTGGAAGCAGCACGTGACACTGGCAATAAAGACTGCACCTGCAGTGTAATTCCACTCTTGTTGAATTTTTAGTTCTGAAACTTAAACATCTGAGTTTCAGGGGAAAATGAAATAAACTCGTTCCTACCCTGACACCTGTACGAAATGGATCTTGTTAACACAGTACCCACTGTGCTTGTACCCGACCTCAGAGCAGTCTGCACACATTTTATCTTACAGCAGCTCACCCCTAACAGTGCTGGCTGCTCAGACCTGCAAACCACCCCACACTATGAAATGGGATTAACAAACATCTGATTGAGCACACACACAAACCCACACACACACCAACTCCCCCTCTCCTGTGGTCTTCCAATCAAACACTTTATCAAAAATCAGACCTGATTTGAACAAACTCTTGCTGCACTTATGCTTCCCTCTGCCAAGAGGATGAGAGGTCTGCATTGGTGGTAATTTATTCTAGAAGATGCAGTGGTACTAAGGGCTAATGATAACAGAGCTGTGGTCACAGTCCCTAGAAGGAGATTGTCTTTGAAGTCTCCAGATGTTCTGTTATAAATTGCCTGAGATTGTCTTTGAACTGTAAAAGTTGGGCTATGCTTTTAGGTGGGATACCAGATTAACCCAAGAATTGTAACTGTACAGCAAGAAAGCTGCTCCTGGCTGTTCCCCAGTAGTTCTAATGCTACATAAAGAAAGCTAGCTGAAGTTCCCATCTTTCTGGACTTGGTCCCTTGACTGTCCTGCTTTGTCCCTGGCTGCTTTGGGGGACACATTTGTACAGTTTCTCTGGCCTTGAGAAGCACAGAGGTGCTGCAGTCCTGGTATGCCTGCACCTCATTGTGAATTTGAGGATTAGTAATCACAAACGTCACAGCAATTTAAAAAACTGCACCACAGATGCTAATTTAAGGCTACAACAGTTTCACATGTATTTTAATTGAATTCCCTGAAGAGGCTGCTGGCCGAAGTCCCCAGTCATGTAACAAAGGAAGGCTGAAGAGTTCTCAAGAAGGCTTGGAGTTTTATGTCCATGAGCCAAAACATGTTTTACATGGGAGGCTAAGATGCAGCAGCAATCCCAGGGTTTGTCTTACTTGCTCAAATAACCTTTCAACCTCTCTAATAACGAAGTAATGCATGGAGTAACACTCTGGCACAGGAGCCTAGGATAAGACTGAATAATATTATTACTAAATTGCAAGTTTTCAGTTTCTGCAGACTAACATCTGGAAAAAGTTCCCTCCCACCCAAGAATCAGAACTGTATCTGTTATTACTCAAGTCTAAACATGATAAATTAAGGCCAGATAGTGTTTTTGGACTGTGCTAGCAGGGTGGGTGGATCAGCAAGGATCATAAAACCTATGGCTTTATCATAAAGGCCTGAACATAACTGTCAGGCTGCCAGCAAAATCTGCCTTGCTTGCAACACTCATCAGTTTTGGCAGTGAATGGTAGGAACTCTATCAAAGAGATGAGGTACCTCAAGAGCAAGATAGAGTCTAATTAGTTTGTAAGCAAGCTTGGATTTTTCTTTAAATCTCACTTCAATTGGTTTTGGTTTTAAACTCCCTAGAGAAAGACAGGGTGCTTCTTGGGTTGCAAAATCCTAACACTGCAATGCTAAGGACATTCATGACACCCACTTTGCTTTGAGTGCTCTGTGCACTGCAGCTGGCAGTGTTGTGTGCTCAGTGACCACAGCAAAGGCACTGGCTGCAGAGAAGCTTCAGTCTCAGTGACTGGAGGCCTTACCTGCTGTACCACTGCAGAGACTGTGCTGTTTTCCAGGTGCAGTCTTCACAGAAAACAGGGTTGACCACAGACCAGGCTGACATCTGACAGAAATGACTCTTCAGTCTGTGATTTCAGTTAAACTGTTCTACCTTGTTGAGTAAACCAGCTGAACATCTCCCTGAGGTCATTACTGACTGTGCCAAGTCTGGTAGCAGACCAATCCTTAGAGTGTTTGCTGCTTCTAGTTCTCAATCTTTCTCACTTTCCCTTGCACCAAAAGGTTTTGGGCTGTTGTACCTGTTGAAGTAAAGCACCCAGGAAAACTGAATGCATGTGAGTGTTCAGCACTATACCCAAAAGCATAGTGCTGGGACTGCTCAGTTACCAAAACAGCAAAAAACATAGTGAGATTCACTGTTCATGCAAACTTACTGAACTCAACCTACGTTGTATGCATTCCTTTTATTTAAAAAGTTGTCCTAGGAGTGCACGTTGCACCTATAGAAAAGAATCTTTACACTGTCCACACACAGGCATATAAGGGCTCCAGCACCTGCCACAGGTCTCAGCTAGGTCACGCTGCTCACACAGCGCTCTCGGGACGTGGCACTGGGGTGGAGGGGGTGGGGCAGAGTCAGCAGTACTGGGAACTCATGGCAAGTGGAATGTGTGTCCCCTTCAGAGACAGAAAGACCCCTGCCAATTTTAGATCCATTTTGGGGGAGGAATAGGGATAAAGTCTGTAGGAAGAGCACCAGTGTCACAACAGGAAGGTTACCAGGCTGGAGCAGTATTGGCCAAACGTCTCATGCGCCTAAGGGAGAGAGAGAGAGCCACAGTGAGTGCATGTTACACACATGGGAGGTCTGACCAAAAACAATGCT